GATCAAACTCCGGACCTATAAACCTCGATCTATTCAAATCAAGAAAACCGCACATTTAGGCATCAACATTTAAAGCCGATTTGGCTTCGTCATTTAAGATGAAAACTTTCACTTAGGTTACAATTGTCTTTCGTTCCAAATGAATTTTCGACAGAAGTTCCTTAAACTTATCTTGATTATAAAAATACTTAATTCGTGATGGAGATTGGCGTAGCTTTTTTTTCTTTTGTAGGATTCGACATTACTTTCTTATTTTCGATATTTCAGAACAAGAATACTGTTCACCTCAAATCATTTAAAAAATGCAATTGATTGAACGAGATATTAATATTTTATTTTTTTCCTTATATGAGGTATATATTCACAAAATTTCAATTTGTTATCATCGAAAATAAAGGCACACGAGAAAAACAAACTTTATGCTTGAATGGAATGTGATTTTCGGTAAGCAACAACAGCTCATTTTAAGACCCTTCTGTTGAGGCCTAAATATATTTTTTCGGAAATATTATAGGAGGAGTATATTCTTCAACTATTCCAGGACCGAAAACTAATAAAATGTTTCTTAAAACACAATTCACATTTGAATATTTTTTCCGCCTTTGCCCACTTTTACGGCGCACAATGGGTTACCAAAACAATATAAAGGGAGAGAAATCAATACAAAGGAAATGATTGTTCCAAATTATTTTTAATTAATTGCAAAATAAGTAAATGTCTTAATTAAAGAGTATATAAAATTTATTTGTTCACTCTTGCAATCAAACCAGTACCCTTTATTATTATATATGGCTCTCAATTCTCAATGTTTGCCTTTAATGTTACTTATATTGATTGTATTTTTTTTCTAGTTACACCAACATTACACCACCAACAGATTTTTTTCCCGCTGTTACCTGGGGCAGCCCACTGTGCAACTGTTGGAAATTTTCTTTGCATCTTTGAAAAGACGACAGAGGTAAGGACCACCAGGTGTCGTATTAAGCTTTCATTATTCTGTTTTCCGTAGTAGTAATAAAAAGTGATTGTACCAATGCATAACTCTACGATTTTTTCAGTATCATTTTAAGTATGGGGTGACTTTGGGACTGGGTGGGTAACATAGGGTAAAATTTAGTTTGTGGTGATTCCGTGGTGGGCATACTGTGTTGGTTCAGTCTGCAAAAATGTGGTTTGTGCAGGCATGTACTGCGCTACTACCTTGTGGCAGTTTGAGAACCGTAGTTCACTACATTCTTAGTGTGGTCTTATTTATTTCCACTGTTTTTTTTTTTTTAATTCTTGTTTTCATGAAACTTTCGCTTGTGCTTCAAGAGTTGTGTGCCGCAAGATAGTAGCGCAGTACATGCGATGTCCATGCTGACTGAACCAACACAGTGAATCCACCAGGAAATCACCACAAACTAAATTTTATCCGCTGTTCCAAAGGTACTCGCCCCTCGCCCCTTGGGGTAATCCTAAAATTACCCCATTAACATTAACATTAAAGGCAATCATTGAGAATTGAGAGCCATTTATAATAATAAAGGGTACCGGTTTGATTGCCAGAGTGAACAAATAAATTTTATATACTCTTGAATTAAGACATTTACTTTATAAGTTGTTTTCTTATAAAGCCCCACAGATAAAAATTTCAATCCTTGTGAAATACTACCTGTAAGATGTATAAAATAACTTTCTATAAAATAATAATAATTTTACCAAATATAGATTTGTATAAATATCTTCGTCACAAACTTTTTTTTTATAGTTCGTAGGGTATGTTGAACCCAAAGTAGCTCGTATAACAATCGGAGATAGAAGAATGACAATTTCTACGTTAATTATTGATTTGATAAACATTGGAAGATATTGAATTAATTTCGGTATAACTGGAATATTTATTTTCAATTATTTCGCAACTAGAATCTTTTTCCACGCCCATGAAAATTTTGGAGAGGGGAATATTTTGACGGGATTTTGAATTTTCGAGGGGCAACATATCGACATGGTTATGATTTATCGGAGCGAAAATTTTCAAACCAGAGAACAGCGGGAAAAACACGGACCAGATCACAGAAAGTGTGTTTATGATATTTCCAATTTTTATAATTCTGTTTTGGCATGCATAGTTTTTATGAAGATTGCGTAATAAAATGTCTTAGAAGGGGAGGGGGAAGTTCTTGCGCCATCACCCTTGGGGTGGATGGGTACCCCTGCATGAAACTTTTCAAGTTTAGGTTTTACAGAACTTTTACTTCCAAGAAAACTTTTATTTAAATAAGTTCTTTCGATTTCGTCGAAACTTCGATATAAAAAATTATTATTATGCTCAGTTACCCAAACCAACGACAAATTTAAATCAAGTAACAACGTTTTTTGATATGAACTTAAATTAATAAAAGTTGAACTTTTATCATAGATCTTGAACTATTATGTATTTTATGTAAGTTATGTACTTTTTTTGTATTAGGTTAGAAAGAGAGAGGAAAGAATGTGCATAAGGGGAGAGAAGGAAGAGAAAGGGTACAGAATGATAATAAAATAATGAAAGAAATAGTAAAAATTAAAAAAAATAATAATATATATATATGTAAAATATTGTATACTATGCTCATACATATTGTTAATCCTATATAATTGTATATTAATTTTAAAAATTGCCTGTAGTGACTAATAAGTATGCTGTGTTGTTAGCAACCCAATATGCAAACCCGATGGGCAACACCATTTTATTTTATTTTATTTTATGATAATAAAGTGATTCTCTCTCTCTCTCTTTATTTTAAAGACTTTTTTTTTTCTAATAAATTTTCGCTGGATCCGTTAAAATGAAACTTTTTTTAAAACGTTACATAGAAGTTTCAACCCTTGGCTTTAAGCCATCCACAACTCGACGGTGTGGATATATTCTCGGATATTATTTACTGGGGTTGTTACGTTTCAAAATTTAATCTTCGAAGAGAAGGTTTATAATAATTATTATAAAAGTAGAATCAATTATTGGTGTAAGTTTATAAATTAATGGAGAGCTTGTCTTGGAAAAATAATATGGAGGGGGGGAGGGAGGGGGAGGGTAAAAATGACAAGTTCGTGTTGGTAGAGATGGTGAAAAGCTGCGACCCCTGAGGGTCACCAGTGAAAGGACCACTGAGGGTCAACAGACTTTCTAAACTGTTTCCGCCAAACCACTGCCGCATCTTCTCTTACAGCTCATTTCTACCTCCCAGCCAACTCCATCGATAGAAAACAATAGATTCATCAACTTTTTCATACGCATATAATATTGTGTTCTCTTTTATTGGACCATAAATACGTCGAAGAATCTTCCTTTCAATATACATAGGTTTCGTTCATAACTTTTAGAAAATATCCATGCATCAGATCCTTACGTAGGAACTTACCTGATGACTAATGTCTTATCTACACTAAAGAGAAAAACTTTATTTTCATGTAAAAGAGCGCTGTCCAATCATGTTGGATTAATAAGTACACAGCATACTAGTTAATCCCTGTGGACAATCGATATAACTTATATATAAATATACAGAATTATTTGAATATATATGATGATTATAATAAATATATATTTATTATCTATTTCCTCCTTTTCTTGCTTTTTTTTTTTCTTGTTTCCTCCCTTTTTTTCCCTTTCTCTCTTTTCATATCTTCTATATTCTACAAGCATTAAAATGTTTAACATTATACAATAGAAACAATTTAAAAAAAATTATACAACAAGAACTGAACTGAATTTAATATAAACAAATATAATAAATACTTTCAATAAATAAAAAATGTTGCATTACATACAAGCCCTACCCGATAGATCCCTTTTCCGATAAATCAGATAGATTCGACAATATGGAACAATATATTTTGATAAATGAGATTTCAAACGAAATGGAATTCATGGAGAAATAACAAATTCTAATTTCAAAATATAATAAGATTCATAGATGTAGTATTACAGAGCCTCGCTATTCCCTCAACATGAGGGGGGAACAAGATTGGTTCGGAGTTTCTGAGTTACTGATTGTAAATAGTGTATATAGGTATGCTTGTATCTAAGATGTTTATTTTACTTGTATATCTATATTTACTTTCTTATGAATATATATATTTTACTCTTCTTATAACATTTTATTTCGTATTTATTTCTATGTATTCTTTTTTTTTTAATATTTTATTTTAGAGTGCTACCAATGGGTAGTTTCTCACCAAGCGTGTTTCATGTGATAATATTCCTATGTACACATTTACTTGATGTATTCATACTAATACAGTTGTAAATATCATAATAAAAGTTAAAAAAAAAAAATATTTTATTTATTTATGTTTCTGTATATACGGTGGTAATGTACTCTCTGAGCTCTATTATAAGTGTCCTTAGCTGAGACAGATTGTAATATTTCTCAATAAAAAGGTTTAAAAAAAAAAAAAAAGTATTACAGAAAAATATCCATATTATGCCTACGATCTTTACGAAGCCCCATTAATAGATAATACTTTTCGTTTCTTATTTGAGTTCGATACTCATGTTAAATATATATATGTATATATATATATATATATATATATATATATATATATATATATATATATATATATATATAATTTCGTAGTTATAAATGCACATATTTTTAAGTTATAAGGAACAAAATATTATATCGCTCAATTGCTCGAATCCAGATCACATGGCGATGTATAATAATAATTTAATAATAAATTGGAAAATATTCGTTCCGAAGGAAATTACTGTTGCAGGAAAATTCTCAATATCGTATTCCATTTATTATTAAATTCAATGTGCCAATTCGGTAAACTAAAGAAAGATTCTGGACTTCTACAAACAAAAAAAAAAATGTAAATATTTTAAGAGTTTTATTCAGAAAATATGAATAAATTTGAAAAAAGTTGTAATAATATCAAACTATTGTCAATCTGTTAGATATAGATTACAACACTCAAGTAACTGTTGAGTAATAGCAAGTGGTTGCCAGTCAAAAGTTCAAAACCATTTAGGAAAGAGGCCACTTCCGCCACCTTCTGGTACACTTCAGAATCTTCAGGAAGAGAATAAATGATGGTGGGCTTACAACAGGCGGAGGGATCATGAACTCTACCGGCATTTCCCGCCAAGTTTCGAACAGTTCCAGGGAATCACGACGGAAGATTTGATGACTCCTGTGACTCGAGGAAAATGGGAGTCATTTATTTGAATGATAGGCATCTATTTAATTGATTACGTCCACTACCTTTACATAGAGGAAATAATATTTGCTCAGACTGCGGTCCTTCAAAATTAAATTTAGTTTTCCTGGTTTGATAAAATAAAAAACATCGTTCAGGGAAATATCTTGTTATGTAAATTCAATAATATAGAGTTTTAGTACAAAAACATGCATACTACCATGTTTTTGTACTAAATCACCAACGGATCAAGGATTTAATTTTTAGAGGGCTTCAGCCCGAAAGCTTTTTATATATATAAAACGAATATTACTAAAGAGAGAAACTAATTTTAAAATGGTGTGTAAGTGATTCTTGAAATACTATCAAATGTAATTACACGAAATATAATACCCTTAAAGATAATTTTTTAATATTTTTTTCATAAGATATGGTTATATTTTACCATTTTTGGGGAGGTGCTTCAGCCTCTTCCTCCCCCTGTAGATCCGCCTGTGATATGTATTATTGCAAAAATAATTATTTCAAAACTACATCTTTCCCACTAGTTCGTATTTTTTAAAAATGCTTTAAATGTCTGTTCTTTTTACAAGAAGTTTTACTGAAAGACGAAAATGAATGGAACATCGAGCTTTCAGCTATGTTATTATGACACACAGATGTTATTCTTCTAATGTCTTTTGTCTTCTTACGAAACCCACAGACTCAAAAAAATATCAAGTCAAATGACTGATTCACTTTCGTTTTTGGATTTAATCGATTCAGAGATGGACAAATGCTATTTTGAGTACTGAATACCAAATATTTTACTCAAATTCTTTTTTCATTAACTAAGAATTTAATTACTACTTCAGTTGATGTCAAGTATCAAATAAGAGTAGCATTTACCCATCTATTACACTAGTTTTGAAATATTGAAAAAAATAGTTCCTATGCGATAAACTTGGTTTATGGCTGCCAGCGCTTAATCCAGATCTGCACGGATTCGAATAACTTTTCAATTTAAAAAAATTACAATAATTAAAAGTCCAAGAAATATTTCTGTCATTAAATATTTAATATTCAAGTTTTATAGCCTTTATTACATTAAATGTACCCGCATGAACACACACACACACACACACACACACACACACACACACACACACATATATATATATATATATATATATATATATATATATATATATATATATGTATGTATGTATGTATATGTATGTAGATATATAATTTATTTCATTGTTGAGTAAAATTGTTAACGTGATGAATTTTTTAAAAGATAAGTTTGAGGGGAAAGTATGAGTATATATCGTGAGTGGCTTATCTAATTCTGTTCCCATCCCATATAAGAAACTAAGTTAAATAATAGAAATAAATTTTCGTATGAGAACTTTAATGGCGAATTATGTAAATAGTTATCAGCCCAACAGGAAAAGAGCCATTGTTACCCGTCTGATGCAATACAGATAGTTTCCCACCCAATGATGGGATATGCCAATGGCAAGATATGTCAATACAAATCTCAGCTAACTTATCAGCAAGTTCTTTAATTGTGTAAGATAATCTCACGTCGTTGGAATGTACTGAAGATGTGGCAAAGTGTTAAAAAAATTCTAAATAAAGGCATTATAATTCGTTAAATGTGTGTGAGTTATCTGTTTACTAAACGGTCGATCAGTCACTTAATTAAAAAGTTTAATATTTACACATATGTACAAGGCTTGTTATATAACTATAAACTATATACTATTCTTCAGTTGCCCCTAAATTACGTATTTGAAATTATTGATTCTGGAGCCTAAAAAATATTTATCTTTATTAAAGTAATAGTATTTTGCGAAATTTGACTATTCAGATTGTTGGAAAATATAAAGAAATATTGTTCGACAACTACTTTTATAACTAAATTAAACGTAAACATCGTAGCAAGAGACAATATAGTTAAACTTTAAAATTTCATTTCTTGTGAAAATTATTTTTTTAAAAATAAAATAAAAATTCGTCGAAATTAAGAATCGTTGTTTTCAAGATCACAAAAATTTGAGATCAGATCTGCCTTCTTTCATGAGTTCTCTTTTGTATCATTTATCATTTGTACCATTCATCGAACATCTAATAAATATTTCGATATCTTATGATGAATTCTTAAAGAGATCAGTTGCTGTGATAACAACTGAAAATATCTTTTGAGAATTTATCAACCTTAAGCTATTAATTTAATTTCAGTGGTTAAAAAATGTTTTAATTTGTTGAAAAATAGCAATGGTGCTTATTTTCATTTATCAATTACTTTATATATTTATCAACTGTAGCAAAGCAAGCCAATGGGAGAAAAAAAAAAGGTGAAATAAGTTTGTCTGTATTTTTTTTTTTTTTTTTTTATTATCCTGTTGCACTGGTTTTGAAAAATATTTGGTTGATGGACACCAGGTCTCGATCGAGTTCTGCAACGATTTGAATAAGTTTGTATTTAAAAGTAGGTGATTATTAAAAGTCATTGATAATTTAATATTCAAGTTCTATAGTCTACTTACATTTAGTATTATGGTAAAAAGAATAAATGAACATTAATTTTTTTTCTTATTTAAATACTATTTATTTGTTTTGAAGTTTACTCTAACAATAACTTATATAACTTAGTTTCCAGGATATCACAATGGTAAAGTAACTGACTTAAAAATATAAATAACTAAAAATATTCCTGTATATTTTAATTTAGGCTAAAAAAAAAATTGTATTATGTTAATTTCCAAATATTTGTTGATAATGAAATACCTATCTAAAAACGTCCACGTATTTCGACTGTGATTTTGATATAAAATACAGTTGAAATCGTGAATCTGTGACATAATTCAAACATAAGGCATTGATGAATGAATGCTATTGGCTGCTAGTCTGATCCTGTGATTTCTTTCTAGCTGCCAATATTTTGCAAAATGGAAATATTATCTCAACAATAGCAAGAATTCGAAAATATGTTTAAATCTTCAAACATTTATTCACAAGTCATTAAATAAAATACCGAATTCGAACTAATTTTATGAATGATTTGGATGAATTAAACTAATTTTGAGATTTTTAATTTATCAATAGTTTTTTTATCAATAAATATCATATAATATATTATTATCCTGCGTATCCAACTACTTAGTCCATTTGTGTAAATCTTTTATATTTTAATTAATAACAAGTTCAGTAATTCTTTATTTCTGTTCTAGGAATATTGTCACTGAGAATATCTTACCATTATTATTCTATTGAACGGTACTAAGTAAATTACCGAAAACATACCACATTTAACAAAGAAGTGATTTTCACCGTAAAAATCTGAATGAATAATTGACTTATTTCGTTTTTGTTATAGATTTAAATGTTCTTATTTTTATTCTTTTTTTTAATTCCTTAATTTTTTTTAAAGCGGCCGCTTCACAAATAAGTGAAATCAGTCGTTGATCGCTTGACCAAAGATTAAGTAGCTTCTTCATTTAAAGAATGTTAATAGGGACCGCTCGGATTTCCCTCGCATTCAAAACCAGAAAAAATAAGAATAGATTAAAAATTTAAATAAGAGAATCAAATTATTTTAATTCAAATTATTTTTTACACCCAAAATTAACCTGAAGGTTTATCATTACAAAAAAAAAAAAAATACATACAAAATATACTTCTTAGTTATAAATTTTCTTAATGTAAAATAAAATATTATAATTAAAATTATTTTGGTAGATTTAAATTTGTTTTTATATCAAATAAATTTATTTTATTAAAATATTATACTCATACACAAAAATGGATTATTTAATACTTTACCGATCATCGAGTAAATACAAGCATATTAATGCATTTTTTTTTTAATTCAAAATCATTTAATTTACAGTTTAAACCATAAAATAATCATTAAAAGACAAATTTGTTGAATTAATAAAAAAATCATGTAAAAATATCTATAAAACCTATATGGCGTCATAATGTAAAAATATAAACTTTTTTATTATTCCTCATGTTTATTAATTAAAATAACGTTCTAAGGCATTATTAAGATTTAAATTTATAAATAATAAGCAGACAGTATATAAAAGTGAAGTTAATATAGTTTTGGGATATAATCAAATTTGTATGGCCATCTCTAACAGTTGATTTTTTTTTTCCTAATTAAAAGAGCGGTGTTACAAATTTATTAATGAAATGTCATTTGCTCGGAAGAATTTTAGAACAATAACTAAAAAGTTAAAAAAATAAATAATTTCCGTGATATTTTATGATTCGTCAATAATCAACCAATTTACAGTTTTACGTTTTAAAGACGAGTTTCTAATTCTATAATTTGTGGTATTGTTTTCAGATCCTATTGTTCCTTTTTCTGAAAAAAAAAAAGATGAAATTTACTGATAAAAAATATAGAAGCTACCGCCCGAGGTACTATAGTGAATCATACATAAGCTTCCTTTAAAAGCTCATCACATAATTCATGAACTTGATGGTTTTTCGATAACGATAGAAGATAATAAATGTTTCTAATAAGCCATTTATAACACGTTTAAAAGGCTTAGAATTTCTTTTGCTTAGTTTTTTAAGTATCAAAAGCTATCTGCCATAAGAAAAAAAACCTCCTGTTATGTTATTTTATATACTAGCTATTAAAAAAAAAAATCAATGCGATTGATGTTTGGAGACATGGATTGAAACAATGAACTCACCATTCAAGATCCACCTTCCAGCCTCACTAAGCACTTTCTCCAGAAGATTCCTCTTATATCGTTGGTTGCCTAGTGTTTCCCCCCTTTGGGTGAACATTTGGTGGGAGATGTTCTACCATAGTCCCTGTTTACATCCTTACATAAGCTGATTGTCGTTAAGGGTGAGAGTAGAACGTGTATCACCCGCTGGTCTATAGCAAATACTCGGCATCGAACGGTACCGCATCATCAACAAACAGTTCATAGCTTACTGTAATCTATAAGGGATCGAGAAAAAGGAGATCTAGTGATCATGGGAAACATTCTCTTATTACCTATTCTAGGTTTAATTTAAGTGTTCAGAACAGAAAGGAGGATAAATTTTAGGTAATTTCTATAACATGTCACCTTTATATTAAACTATACAGAGAAAACTTTGAACATGTATATGAGCCTTTCAGTTAACAGAACGATTAACTCCTATTTCAGTATTTTCCAGTAGTGTTTATCGCTGAAAATATCGTACTTTATCAAAATTATGCAACAAGTATTAGTAAGCGCTAATTGAGGGTGACAGAAGAAACAGAAATATAATTGATACTGACTTAATATTACAATTGGAGTCAGTCACTCTTTAAATTGAAAGACTCCTATCATAATCTTATATAATAGAATTTCAGTTGACAGAATGACTAACTGCAATTTAAACATTTCTGATTATTAATTTTAGTGATATTTCTAGTGGTAAAATACATACCTTTATTCACAGTTCCATGTTTCAACACTGCAATCACTCTGGAATCAAGTTAATGTACAGATATCATAAATTTTACAAGAAAATTTAACAAGAAATATCACTAAGATGACTTTACTCAAAAATGTTAAAGTTGGTGTCAGTTCATTCTGTCAACTGAAAGGCCCATATAACATTCCTGGCCCCAGAAGAGTTGTTTGGATAATATTTTCGTTCTGAATGATATCATCCTGAACTTTTTTTATAAGAGAAAGATCTACTCTTTTTGTGGTTTTCGTTGATATTCGCCGATCTTAAAACACAATAAATCATATCTTTATATGGGATGAGCTATTTTCTGTAGGTTTCAACGGAAAAGTTATACAATATTGAGACATGTATAGTATTGCATTCGTTGAACGCCCTCCATTACCTTCAACGATATTATTTTTCTCAAATCTTTATCTCTCTAACGACATATCATAAATCTATATTGGTACTCTTATTTCCAGAACCTGTTTTTAATATTTCTCCAATTTTCTTCCAAGGTAATTTAGAGGAAGAATTTTGAAATATTCGGCATTTAAACTCTGTCAAACTATTTCAATAAGATTAATTACTACATTAAGGGTAAGACCATATAATTTTACACCAACATGACGAGTTTAACAAAATTGTTTGAGCCGTTTTTGAGAAAATAGTAAAAATGGTTAATATCATTTAAATAAAGTTCCACTTCGTGTTGGCAAATTTTGACAAAAAAGTTTCTGCTAACATCCCAGGCATATCTCTACCTTATAATATGAAAACTTTTGCTACATTCAAATTCTCATTTTATAATTAAATTTAAAGAAAAAATGTAAGTTTATGAGTATATATATGATATATGAGTATAGTTAGGTAAATGTTATTGAGGAAATTAATAAAATAAGGTTTTTAAGTTACGCTTATACTTTTAAACAAAAAAACAAAAAAAAATACTGCAGGAATGAATTATTTTTGTTAATTTTCGATCGATACGCTTATGAAAATTCTTCTAACCACTGTAGCGAAAGTAAAAAATCAGGTGCGGCGTGCATCACACAACTTTTACTTAACACTTTAATAATTAGAGTGTCCGAAGATTCTTGAGCTCTAGGAGCTGAGAAAAAATAATTTATAAAAGTTTAACATTTTTTATATTATTGTGTTCTGCCTTTGACCTGTAGGAATTTCTAGATTGTATTTGTGAGATATCAATCCATTTTTGGGGTGTAAAATAAGAAAAACATATTGCTGATTGTATTAAATGAATATAAATTACAAAAAAAAAACGCTGCCAGTAAAGAAGCTCTGGTAAATATTTTGTCATGAAAAAATAATTCAGGTTCATTTTTAGTGTCCTATAAAACTCTTAAATTATAATTTAATTTATGACTTCCCTCAAGACCTAGATAATGCAGTGAGTTCCTTTACCACCTTGATCCAACAAGCAGTCTGGACTGCATCCTCACCAATCCCCTCCAAAAAATACCTTAAAAAGATTCCTCTGCCTCAAATCCTTACCGACCTCATTAAATCCAAACGCCAATCTAGGACCATCTGGCAAAGAACCAGGCATCCTGATGATCGGAAACTGTACAATTATTATACCAAACAGGTAAGAAAAGAACTAGCTTCCTTTAGATCCCAATCATATAATTCCTACCTCTCTTCCATATCTACCGATGACAATTCCCTCTGGAAGTTGACCAGAAAAATACTTAAATACCATCCTGTTTCCCATCCCCTCCGATGCGATGATGGAACCTGGGCTTCGTCAAATGAGACTAGAGCTGAAGAATTTGCCAAACACCTATCGAAAACATTTACTCCCCACCCCGAACTTCATTCCACCCTCACTGTTGAAGTTAAAAATTCCTCTCTTCTCCTATTCCTCTCTCCTTGCCTCCTATAGCTGTCAACCCCTCTGAGGTCAAATTCCTTATAAGCAACCTAAAACCACGAAAATCCCCTGGACACGATCTCCTTACTTCCCAGATCCTTAGACAACTTCCCAAAAAAGCAATTATATTCCTCACATACCTATACAACTGTATTCTCCGCACAACTCACTTTCCTCTGACATGGAAACATTCCATAATCATCCTCTTCCCAGAACCAAATAAATCTGTCAATAATACCTCATCCTATAGACCAATAAGCTTGCTCCCAATCCTCTCCAAAATCTTTGAAAAAATCCTTCTCAAACACATCCTACCCATACTCGAAACCCACAATATCCCATCTCATCAGTTTGGATTCCGCTCAAGACATTCCACTGTTCAACAAGGTCTTCGCGTTGTTGATCATATATCCTCTGCGCTTGAAAACAAGCAATATTGCACCAGTGCCTTTCTGGACGTAGCGCAAGCTTTCGACCGGGTGTGGCATGATGGCTTGCTTTTCAAGCTCAAAACTCACTTACCCCAATCCTTGTACCTAGTCCTCAAATCCTACCTCTCAAATCGTTCCTTTCAAGTCCGCTGCGGCACTGAATTCTCCAACTATTATCCAATTGAAGCTGGTGTTCCACAAGGCAGTGTCTTGGGCCCAGTTCTCTTCATCCTCTTCACCGCTGACATTCCAACCAACCCCGATACCCTTCTAACAACCTTTGCTGACGATACCGCCATCCTGTCATCGCACTCAGATCCTGAAACAGCATCCTTAAACCTACAAAGACACATCTCCCTGATTGAGCAATGGTGCAACAATTGGCGCATTAAGATAAATGAATCCAAATTCAAGCATGTCACCTTTACCCTCCGACGCAGATCCCGTCCACGTATCTTTTTCAACTCTGTACCTCTCCCCGTCTCCGACACAGTTCGGTATCTTGGATTCCTTTTAGACAAAAGACTAACTTGGAACCCACATACCAGACTTAAAAGACAAGAATTTAACCGACGATTTGGCCAGCTATACAGACTACTTAACAGAAAATCCAATCTCTCAATAGAAAACAAACTATTAATATACAAGACCATACTCAAACCCATCTGGACCTACGGACTTGAACTGTGGGGGACAAATAAATTTTCGAACATCAAACGCATCCAATCCTTTCAGTCTAAAGTCCTCCGTATAATAGTCAATGCTCCTTATTATGTTACAAACAAAACCCTACATCATGACCTTTACATCCCTTATGTCCTTGATGTTATTCCATCTCGATTCTCAAATTTTCATCTGAACCTATTCCACCATCCTAACTCCTTAGCACAATCCTTATCCAGCTCCAGTCACCCCTACAACCCTCCTCGAAGGTTGAAACGGCAGTGGCCTCGAGACCTTTTGTAAAGACTGTCACTGGAGTTCTGGCAATGGCCAGCCTCTCCACTCACGTCATGAGCGTCTGTTGCTTTAGTGCCCTCTCTGTTTCCACTGGACTCCTGCCGGTGACGCAGCTGAGAGAGAAGCGCTGGGATCTCTTAGAGTCTCGCTCTGTCCTTCACACGTGGAGGAAAGGGCTGGACTCGGAGCTCCCTTGGCTGATTGTAAATAAAGTATGAATGTTTCTCTTTTTTATATATTAATTATGAATGTTTTTCTTTTTTATATATCTATTTGTTATACTTATTATTATTATTATTTTATTTTTAATTTGAATTCAAGTTACATTTCTTTAGTTTTATAGTTTTTATCTTTGTTATATAGATATATATTTTTTTTATTTATTTATTTTTTTTTTTATTGCATTGTATATATAGTATGAATGAGCCTCACTCAGCTTTAGTACTCAGTGCCCTTAAATGTGGCAAAATGTATTATTTCTCAATAAAAAGATTTTAAAAAAAATTTATGACTTCACTTTAGTTCGGTGATTTTGTTATTTTTTTTTTCATTCCGTTGTCTAAAGCATTTATAACTTCTCAAAATTTTCACCTAATTCAAATAATTATTACCCGTTGAAAATTTAAATTATTGTTTTTTCAAACCATATCAACTTTTAGACTTTACATTTTTTATTCTTCGATTGCAATGAAAATTCTTTAAAATATTTAAAGAAATCTGGATGTATTTATGGAGTTTAATATCTACAATACATGCATTATTCTTGTGTTCGGACCAAATATGAATAATAGAATTGAATAGAATAGAAGAATCAACTTTATTCTGGGACAAAGTCCATTAAGAATAACAATATTGGTCATAAAAATTAACATTACATCTGGCCAAAATAAATATTGCAATAAAAGAATATCTAAAACATAGGTAATAAGAGAAGTATTTACATACTATACATATATATTAAAGAAAAAAGATGTGCAATAGATTCACAATACTTTTTTTTTTTTTTTATATTTGTTTATTTAGAAATATTACATTCTGTCACATCAAGGACATTTATAATAGTGTTCAGAGAAAGCACACTCACACTCTATTTACAATAAAAAAAAAATAATAATAATACAGAAACTTAATAATAATAAATACAATAAAATAAAATAAAAATAAATACAATAAAAATAAATGTATATAAACAAAAGAAC